CGAAAATTTCCCATCAGATATTAGAAGACATTTTGTAGGTCTGAATACTTATATTTAAGGAAGAAGTGACGAGAGTAGACTTTAGATTCGTAACATATGGTTGCTCAAATTGGCTTTTTTTAGGGGAAGAGGAGAAAGCTATTTTGAGTGTTGTATTTGTGAAGCATGAGAACCCTTCTCAGAACTAGTGTGGCTACCCATACACCGTATTCATTCTTTATCCGCGGTCCCTTTCAGCGATCACAATTACACTTTCTTCACTCAAGCCCTCTACTATGAAAACTGGGCCCTCATGTTCTTGAACCTCGAACTTCAGAAGAGGGTTAAATGCAGGAGCTTCATTTGGCATCGTGTAAAGAAAGAACGGAAATGGGGAGGATAGATGAGACGGAAAGCAGATGTCACCCGGGGAAGGAATCTTCACGTCCAGCCTCCGCGCCTTTCCCCTATAAAGGCAAACTTAAACACACGGATACATATCCCACAGGTCCTCTCCTCTTCCAAGCACCGTCCCTGTCCGTCAGGCGGCTTTCCTTCTTTTGCCAACGCATAGATTTCGTCTTCGTAACCTACTGGGGGCGGACCCGTATATGGCTTAAGCCTGTTATGATGTACTGTCAGAGGCTGAGTAGCGATCTCCGCATTCCAAACGAGATAATTCGTGGGGACCGGGGCTTTGATTTTCTGGTAGGGTTCTTTGCTCCAAGAGTGGTAGAATTTCCAATGGGCTCCTGGTGGGGGAGTTGGTCTACACAATTGCACAAAATCTCCCTCTTTAAAAACGTTTGGCCGGCTCTGCCTATCGTAGGAGTCCTTTTGTCTAGTCTATGCTTTCTGCAGTTGTCTGCGCGCTGCGTTAAACGCTTTCCTGAAGCGTTATCCTTTGGCGGTTTCTTACGAGGACATGAAATATCGGAAGAAACTCTTAATTCCCGTCCCGTGAACATCTTGAAAGGTGAGACTCCAGTCGAGGTGTGGACGGAAATTTGGTAAGCAAGGAGAGCCCGTCCCAGGTTTAGGTCGCAATCCTCGGGCTGCACTTCTTTGGTAAAGGTCTTTAATAAGTCCACAAGAATACGATTTGTCCTTTTTACTTGCCTATTGCCCTGGGGGTGACCTGGCGTCGTACATGTTTTATGAATACCAAAGGCTTTGCATAGCTTTTTGACAAGACGACTCTCCAAGTTCGCTCCTTGACCGCTATGTACAGAGTCAGACATACCACGTAAACAGACCAAGCGGTTGAAGAATGCGGTTGCTATTGTCTCAGCATCGTGTGCCTGTAATGACTCGGCTTCCGCGACCTTTGTGAAGTAGTCTACCATCACCAAAATATAAAGATTCCCTCTAGGAGTCGTGGAAAACGAACCTAGGATATCTATGCCTATTCGTTCCCCTGGAAAGCCCGTGAACATCGGCTGTAGATGGGCTACCACTGTGCGCGTTGGGTTCTTCAAGCTGATACACGTGACGCGTACGGGACAAAATCGGTGATATCCGATGTTAGCAAGGGCATACAATACCTCTCTCTTGTGGCTTCATCCATCTTCCTTTACTCCACATGGCCAAGTTGCTCATGTAACTCCAACGGGACTGTTTGCGTCAAGGGATCTGGTACTACGAGGCGTTTAGGACTTGCCGCATTGGCGTCTTTGTACCGCATGACTTCGTCTTCTAGAGGGCGTTTTTCCCAGTTCTGCCATATTTTTGTGGCTCTCTTGCTCTCCGAGCTCATCTTATCAACTGTGGGCTGTAACCTATTTCAGTTGAGCTCAGGGATCGCTTAGATTGGTTCCGGAAACGACAAAGGCGGCAAATAGGGACCTGCGTATGTCGTCCAAAACTTTCTTTGCCTTGGGAGCCAGACGCTTCTTCTTGAGCCTTCAAGGAGTAATGAACATACCTGTATCGAAGTTCATTGTCGCTCGGAGCTGGCGTAAAACATCGGCTCCTAACATTGCGTCCCAAGCAAGCTTCGGACAAAGCACAAAATTCACCTCTCCACTTTCCTTCCCGATTGGAACACTGATGAAGGCTTCTCCTACTGCCGATATGTCTTTTCTTTTTGCAGAGATTAGTATAGTAGGCGGTGGAGCGATACGAACCTTGTTGCAAACCATCGGAAAGGCTTGTGGGTTTAGTAACAAACGGGCTGCCTCCGAGTCCAGACGAAAAGTGCATGCGTGGCCTTCCATTTTGACCCATACTCGCATAAAAGTAAGGAATCAATGGGAAGCAGGCAAAATAAATAATATTGCGGCTTACTTTGTGCTGGAGAACCACTGGAGGAAGCATATTTTTGCTTGTCTGGAAATGGTCGTCTGTTGGGTGTTGGGTGTTAAACTACGTTGAGAATTGTAGCTCCTGGAGCTTAGAGACTGCCACGTCAATAAGGCGGCTTATCTGCACCAGTTGTTCTACCAAGGTGGGTGGATGCAAGCGACCGGGAGGGGAAAGTAATCCTTGAACGCTTGTTAGGCTAGTAAATGGAAACTCCTCGCACAATGTTCGTCACTCTCTTGAGGTTTCTGGAACCGCTGGAAAAGTTTCAAGCCAAAAATCGTTCCTTCTGAAGGGATGCCAGTTTGACAAGGACCTCTGAGCATTCTTCTATGTCTGAGATGAGAGTGATACCCGCGTCCATTGTTTCGCGGCGTAGGTCATACGGGTAAGGCGCGAAGTAGCAATGGCACTCTCCGTGCAGGATAACAGAACTCGAGATCTGCCTTTGTAAGTAGGAGCCAGTCATCGAAAACCATGTCTTCTTTAGAGAGGGATGTCCACCAGCGCTACCACTAGTGTGAATTCTGCCTGTCTGCGTAACCTCATGCTCTTAAACCTCAAACTTCAGGAGAGGGTTAGTTGCAGGAGCTTCATTTGGCATCGTGTACAGAAAGAACGAGAATGATTTAACTGAATGTCGTTTCGGGAATTCCCTTACAGCGTCCGTGCATAGATGTAGGCGACGGCACTGTGCCGAAGCGCCTATCTTACAGGACAGTATTTAATACCACCTTCCTCGGAAGTCTGAACTGGATTTGTCCGAATAAATG